CCCCTGCTCCTTCCTCAAATGTGACATCTCCACCAACCAAACAATTAAACTAATAAAAGCTGATAATTAACAGACTCCTGTTTGTGTATCTATATGTTATTTGAAATCAAAATTTATACTGTAAGTCGTCTTCATTGTCAGTAATCATATATTCGAAGACGACTGTAGGAACTGTAGCTTAATTGCTCAAACTTTTATTCTGTTCAGTAGTCATGTACTGCGGCAAGAGAATGGAGCAGTACAATGCCCTGTACTGCAGCGGCATGTATGTACCATCTGTTCTGCTACAGGAGTGAACGCACATACAGACAGGTAGTGATTTATCATATCGACTTAAGAGGACAGGGGGGAGAGTACCTTAACGTGAGAGAGGGGGTCGCTAGGCTGCTATATAATATAAAATCTTAGGACCACTGATGATAATTGGTAAAGAAATATGTTAATTTAGATTAATACATGATACCCAACTCAACGTGTGCACGGACAGAAAACCCACTCACTAGAATTAAGCTTTCTCTTAATGAAAACGACATTTTAAGACCTATACTGTAAAAGTTAAGAACATACTGGACATACTGCGAGAACCTGAAAACTGGAATAGGAAGACGGCTTAAAAAGCAACATTTAAGTGTATTTGATGTTGTTTTAAACAAGAGTTTTACTAGTTAATAAAATTAACTCACTTTTTCATTGAAACTGGTCTGATTTCACTGCGCACTTGCCTTGTTTTATGTTCATTGGTCTTGAGTTCGAACATCGTCTTCCTAATCAGAGATAACCCTTATAACTGTTACGCATTTCCAAAGCTTCTAGTCTTTTCAATATAATAGGTTACAAGTTTTGAATAAAAGAAACTATTGTGTTGGAATCCCGATCGCTCAATCTTGATATCCACTGCGGGCACTTCATTTTTTTTAAATTATTTAGTCTCTTGTATCATTCCTAGAATGTACGATTACAAAGTGGGATATGGAATACAGATTCTACTATCTACCTTGAAATTAACAAATTTCTACGATGAACTAACTTAAAAGATCAAGATCAAGCATTGATCTCGATATTCCCATTACATTGGTAGTTTTTAGCTCTGCTCTATGATCGCTGTTGGCTAGTTTCGATCACTGTACTTAAATGCTGTCGAAACAAATCCACCCGGCCACTGGTAAGGTTAACTATAATTTTGATTTGATTTTAGTCACTGTCCTTTGAAGAAAGATGGCGCACTGGCTTATCACAAGATATACAAGGTAACTTTTTACTATCAAACATTCGAGGGGCGTATACAGAAGTTTTTCTCGTTGGGAAGAGGGTTAAGTTAAGGGGAACTTATTTCTAGTGGAGACTGTTTCTTTCTCAGTATAAGTCCATGCAAGGACGTTCAAGATTTAGCTAAGAGTAACAATATCTTCAATTTTTGTTCAGTGAAACCCTTAATAACGAATACATCGGAAGAATTTATCAAATGTCGTCTTGACAATTTTTCAATGAGTTTTATACTATATTACGTAAATCTCAGTATTTGCGAAAATAAATAAATAGCCATGAATATGCGGGAACAGTTTTGAAGAGTTCCATATAATCATTTAATTTAAAAACTAAATATCTGCAACATTCCATTATCAGAAAGTGAAGAATACGACATTTGATGAATTCTTTCGATGTTTTCGTTAGTAAGGGTTTCACTGTATGTATTCAGTGATAATCAGAAAACAATGGAATAGGAAGACGACGAAAGTGATACATATTTTATGTTGATACAAAGCTATCACTTATTAAATCTCTAATTTTGTGAATTGGGTCTTACACTGCACAATTGCTGTCTTATCATCCTCATTGGACTTTAAAGAGATATAACTTAATTCTTAAAGTCGTTTCCAATTCCCGAGTTCTGGTTATCACTGTAAAATTAATATTTTTTAGTATCATTATTCATTTTCGAGCTTAGTCAGATCATTAATTAATTTTAGTCATCTTTAATTTCAGTTAATATAATTTAAATCCATATGAAGCTTTTAACTCTACAATCTCAACATTAGAAATTATTTCTTCTTAAAATAAATGTTACGACTTTGTTACCTCGTGTTCAATTTTATGAATTCAATTGAATTCAAAGTTATTATATCTTGATTATTTGCTTTTTAGTTTAAGACGAAAGCTTAATAAGCTTCTAAGTAAATGTGACAAAATGAAACTTTTTTAGTTATCAAATAAAGTCGAGAGAAGATATATTTTGTACTTGCAATTCGTAAAAAGCTTGTTAACAATGAAAACGATTAAAACCGTCGTCTTCGGTGTATTGATATAATCGCCTACCACTGTATTAGAATAGATTCAACGTTTTTTTAGAATAACAGGAATACTGTTCTAGTTCAATCTCCATCCTACAGAATGTTCAAGCCCCAGGTAATAAAAATCTGAATATTTCGAAGACGACATTTTTATTTTGCTTGAAAATGAAAATGTGTAGTGAAATAAGACTGTGTAATGTGTATACTGTAAAAGTGCAATGCACTCGACACAATTGCTGTTTTCCACATTTTTGGATAAATTAAAATCGCTACATTTATTATTTAAATTATTAACATTGAACTTCCTATTCAACAGTTTTACGAGGTGCCACTTATGTCCCAGTTGAGACGATTAATCCACCCAGAGTGCTATAGAGTGGTCAGTGGGGGGGGGGGATTTTATCTTGAAAATCTAGATATATGAGGAATAAAATAATCTACTATGCAGGAGCCCTCATCAAAGATTCACTTTGAGGACAGCGTAATTAGATCCAGAGTTCACAACTTCTCTAACAAAGAGCTTCAGCACAAACACATTCCTCACAATCAGGATTCAGCACGGATGCCGTCACGAACCTTTCGTCTGACCCCTTCTCCCTCCTACCCTGCTCTCCGTCCAGCCTCTTCCCCAGTCTATCCTGCCTTACGTCCTCAGTACCCTGCTCCACATCGCTATTCCGTGCCTGTCCTTCAATCCCACACTATCCATTGCAATTCAAGGCTAGATATGAACAGAGAACCTATCCCTTCAAGATATTTCCCGGAACACGGTTATCTTGCTCCCTCTGAAACCTGTGCTCCAGCTCTTCAGATAATTTCACGAGAAAGATTACCAAGTCCAAAACCCAAGCTGACTATCCCTTTTAATCTTGAACGTTCTATTCCACCATACCATACTGCCTCTCCACCAAGATCAAGTTCGCCATCTCTCAGTTCTTCTCGTAGCTGGAGCTCGTCGGATGGATCTCCTTGTTCTACCGAGACCTGGACAAACAACCGTGAACCTTACTCTGGTTGGACCTGGAGAGAGAAGGAACCTAGTTCTAGAGAACGTTCCAGATCAGAGAACAGGTAATACATTAAACTCGATGGTACAAGGAACTGAATCTTTGCGACAGATTTCAATTTTCTTATCTCTAAACCTTTGCAACCTGCTGTGCACGCCTTAGATTATTTTGATTTTCAAACTTAGATTATTTGATATAACAGAATTCATAGTTAGAAATATCTAAGGGTTTAGGCATGTGTTGGCAAAGCTATACGGATCAGTAAATAATAATTTATTAAAAGTAGAATTTGGTATAGGGGTTTTTCATAAACAATGGAGAAAATTGTCGACGGAAAGTCGTTTGAAGCAATGAAAATAAATTAGATTAGTGTGATTTCAAATTTTAGAGTAATTTTTCTTCAGTCGCATTGTTAATCAGTATATGAAAGGGACGAAGCGTAATTTCAAGTGACCCTCCATGTAAAGAGGTCAATGTCATATTGACAGCAAAACCACTGAAACTTTATCCTATAGGGTGTCCCAAAAACCATTGGAACTCAGTGACGAATTCAATAGCGTCTCTGTTATGAATTAGCATTGTGATACCTAATTTCAAACCCCATAATATTATTGTGTCTGTTAGACATGAAAAGGGTAAAGCTGTGTCTGTCTATAGTGTCTCCGCAAGATGAACAGTGATGACGGACAAGTTTACTCTGTTTGTATTCTGCAATTTTTTGTTTTACTATACTAAATCTAAGAATTATTTAAAAAGACTATCGAATTCGTCTCTGAATTCCAATGTTTATTGGGACACCCTGTATTAAAAATGTGGAAGATATTATAGATACTGCAGTAGAAATGTGTCAGTCACTATGTAGAGCAACAACATTACAAACATTGACATTATACGTATACTTAGTAAGACAAATCTGATGTGTGTACCGTTCTGAATTGGACAGTGCCACCTTTGCATGGAAAGTAGTTTGAAATTCCGCTTACAGTCCCTTTAAACCTCTGGAACGGATAAAGGTTGAAAGAATATGTAAGTCCAGAAAATGACGTACTAAGGTTCAGACTATGATCGGCATGATCATAGTCTGAACTTATGCAGTTAAAAGGATTTTTACAAAATATTGGGCCGTGAAAACTGAACCTTTAATTTCATGAACATTGCATCTATATAGAGTTGGACAAAACACACGTCTACAAAATCTGGCAATATTATAATAAAATATGTTTTAGTCTGGGTTGGAGCGAAAAGGATTTTGGCCCCGTCACTAGTTTCAACAAGGCACCAGGTACAACAATCAGGGTGGGCATATCGGTCACCAGGTACAACAATCAGGGTGGGCATATCGGTCACCAGGTACAACAATCAGGGTGGGCATATCGGTCACCAGGTACAACAATCAGGGTGGGCATATCGGGCACCAGGTACAACAATCAGGGTGGGCACTGGGCATATCGGTTTTCAAATGTAGACTTTTTTATGGGGTTAGTAGGCTTGACTAAATTTGAAATTACACGTTCTACAAATTTGAGTTTTGGCAAAACAGAATAAAAAAACTTATAATATTTATCGTCCTCGCAGAGTTAGTTTTGCCAAATGAAAGTCCAAAGTCTAAAGCTGTATTTAAAAACCCCGGATTAAATAGAATGCTTAATGCATTTATTATTAAATACAAGGAAAACGACTTTCTTTTTCTATTTTACATTTTTATCTAGCTTTAAAGCAGAATGGAACAATTTGATGATTTCGCTTAGTTTCAAAAAGCTTATTAGAAAGCAAAGCTTTAACCATGTAGTTGTCTTCTTTGTTTTTTGACATAATTGTCAACCTTTGTACGATAAACTGGAATGGGGCCAAGAAATTAAACTATGGAGGACACATCATGTAAAATTCTGAACATAGACATGTAGGCTTGCATCCTCAGTGCTTTAAATGCACTCAACATCATAACCCTTACACTGAAAACTTCTATAATGAACCAATACATTTTGTCCTTTAAACTGGGGGGNTTTTCGTTGTATTCATGTACCTATGAACATATAATTTTTCTATGTAGAACGCAGCAAAGTTTTGACGATGCTTATTTTTCGTAGGTTCTCCTTTACTTCCTGGAGCCTGCAGGTCGGGTTCAAGTAGTTCCAGCCTGCTCCTGGACCTGGATACCTTTCAAACCATGAGTAACTGGAGCCTGGATGGTTCTTACAGCTCTAGGAGTACCTGGAGCTCAGATCAGGGATCGATCAGTCCCAGGAGTGCCGATTTACGATCTACCGACGGAGAAAGATTTATCTACTAGCCGGGAATATTATTGTTGTATAATGGACTTATATCAGTGAATAAAGTTAAGCTAAAAATTAATTTTAGTTTTGATGATGACACAAGGGTTTATAGGACATAAGCTCGACTGTCCTAGTATAAAGGTTAGAAGGAAAGTTTTATTTTTGTAACGGATTCGTCCCCTCTACAATTTCTCAAAACTTTTGCAGGGTTATCCTTAAAGGATGAGACTGTAAAGAAATTCTTTCAAACATGACAGTTAAGTTTTCGGTCAATGTACAGTCATTTATTGGCTTATTTATTGATTTGACTATAGAGGAAGAAGTAACACTCGTCTCTGAAGTCTTATCCTTTCTTGGTAACCCTGTCTACAAGATCTAGGAAACTGTGGTTTGGAAGAGCGGGTGTATTACTCCTACCTGGTATGATAAGACCATCAACGCCATGGAGATCATCAGCTTTTCCCACTGTTCTAGGAACACACAATTCAATTTGCGTTAAAGGAATTGTAGACGTGATTTTTAGTACACTATATTCATAAGTTAAGTTGTTCGATTCACAACGGTACCCCTTAAAGCTTTGCCTGATCACACTACTGAATGAGATATCCAAATTTTCGCGTTAAAAAATTGTTACTTTCTGTCGTAGCTTCTCTGTATAAGTGACTTGCGAATATCTTACTGCAGAAACTTTGTGGAAATTGTGAGACAATTGTCAAATAACACAATTGATCAGATAAAGGCTACCGTTGTAAATAAGGGATGCTCCTTTTTTTAAATTAATTTTTATTTGCATTGCTGTCGCGCACTTTCATATTAGTTTCGAAGGCAGGCCGCAGGCAAACTATTTCCGAGGTCGTATCTAATGAATAAAGAGAGAAGTGGTAACTAGGTTTGGCGAGCTGAACTACTCTAGCTAAGTCACAACTATCGCTACCTAAATAAAAACATCTCCCAATTCATTAAATCTGACCTCTGAACTATAAAACAGTCAATATTATGTTGATTGTTAAAAGTAAATCCATAAAGGTTGAATTGGGTGCTTAGCCCTCAATATATCCTTTTTAATTCTATACATAAACATTACTATAATTATAATCACAATTTTATGAAACAATTTTCCTAATATAGATCTAACGGAAATAATTCAAAATAAAAACTTTTGGTTGAAAATTACACATTTTTTATCTCGCTGCTTAAAGGGACTGTAAGCATAATTTGAACTGATCGTCCATGAAAAGATGGCAATGTCCGATTTACAGTGGTACGGTGATTCCCTTTTTCGGATCAAATATGAATTAGATATTCTCATTGTTTTTCATTTCCAGATCTCTGCAGAATTGACATGAGAATTTCATGCAGGGTGAGTCAAAAAAAAAGTGTGATTTGCAGCGCCTGGTGCAAATTGTACCTTTTATTGTGTGCAACTCTCCTGAATGGTGTTTTTTCAATATTTTTTGACCTTTTTTTTTCGTACTTCAATGGCCCAATTAAAAATCCGCGAACTTTTTTTCTCGCAAAATCAAAAGTTCAGAAAAACAAAAATGTGTAAATAAATTCTTTCTATCGAAATCTAAAATCTTAAAAAGATTGAATCACAGAATCCCAGAAAATTTGCAAAATTGTAATTAGAAAATTCGCAATTTCAGTTCTGGTGTAATTTTTACGGAAAAATTGTTTTTCAATGGTTCTTAGGGTTTCAACTGAATAGCGTATATTTAATATTTAGAATATGCAAAGAAGAAATTGGGACAAGTGAATTTAAATAACTTTTCCTGAAAAATTAGACCAGAACTAAAAATTGCGAATTTTCTTATTACAATTTTGCGAATTATCAGTGATTCTTTGATTCAATCTTTAAAAAATTTTGGATTTCGATAGAAATAATTTATATACACATTTTTGCTTTACTGAACATTTTATTTTGAGAGAAAAAAGGTTCGCGAATTCTTTTTGGGCCATTGTAGTACAAAAAAATAACAAATTTTCAAAAATATTGAAAAAACACCATTTAGGAGAGTTGCACAAAAAAGGTACAATTTTGCACAAGGCGCCGCAAATCACACTTTTTTTTGACTCACTTTGTATAGTTATAACAATTGATTGAAAATTCACAGAAATAAACATTTTTGAGACTGAAAAACGACATAAGTTTCCACAATTTCAGAGAAAGGTTTCAAGGGTATCGTGGTATATCCATTAAAGTTTTAAATTTCAGATTTATGCGATTTTAGAAAAAATAAACAGGCCTGTAATTTCAGGGGTTTGGTATTTATGATCTTTTATTTTTTAACTGTGTTTTTTTTATGCAGTCATAGTCTTAAATACCAATACAATGAAGACGACTTTCAAGTTAGATATTGATTTCTACCAAGCTTTCAAACAACACGGATACACAGAAAATGGAAACAAAGAGAAACTGTCAATTAACAGCCTTTATACTTGTAAACTAGTAATTTTTAAATAGCTTGTTAGAAATCAAAACTAAATGAGAAAGGTCGTCTTCATTGTAGATTGTTTAAGAATGGTTTGGTGGGGGGGGGGGTAGGCTTGAATCTTCACCTGGTTTTTATACCCGTCCTTAGTGACATCCTGAACATAGAATATATTTACTTTTTGTTAAAAAGTATTGTTTAATGTTTTTAAATTGATTTTTTAAAGCTCTTGGGAGAAAAAAATTGAGTCTTTGCCACAGACTCAAAGTTTCTAATCCTTATATCTTTGCAACCTGATTGAGTAAACCTTTGATATTTCAAGCTTAGATAATTTGATCTAGCAGAATTTATAGTTTGAAATATCTAATATATACGACTTTGGGCTGCAAAGATATAGTGATTAGAAAATCAGAGTGTGTGGGAAAGACTCATTCCTAATAAAATACTTTAAAAGATAAAGAATTCTGCAAAAATCAAGATTGGNTTTATTTTTTTGTTTTGTCTGATTTTTTCATAAATACCTTGAAATTGCTATTTGAAGTAAATCTATATGTTCTTGAATAGATCCTTGTATTCCTAAAATGATAAAAATAATTCCACGCTGGCCAATTTGGATATAAAGCTTTCCAGAAAACTCGAAAACATGTTTTGGTTTAACTTATTTGACATAAAAGTTTTATGGAAACAGTACAAGTACAACAAAATGGCCGTTTTACACTTTTTTCGAGTAAATTCCACTCTAATATATTCTATTCTCTTTGTCTTTTACATAAGTTTAAGATTTCCCTGGACAAAATTCCGTAACGTTCCGGAAATTTCCGGTTTATGGTGGAAAAATCGTTCCGGAATACCGAAACCTTTTCCATAATGGAAATGGAAAAAAATTTCCGGATCATTTCCGTATACGTAAACCGTAACCCGGAATTCCGGTGGAAACCCTACATAAAACTAAATCTTGCTTAGAGCAATAAGCTTTTAGGGGTGAGCACAAAAAAAACGCGTGTTACAAATGTTGCTCACCCTGGCGACAAAATTTTCTAATTGTATGGTTTTAAATATGCACAGAGCTATGGAATTTTTGTGTAGGATATCCATGATCCTGATCTCTTGATCTTTATATCCTCTGTGGGTACTTAATTTCAAGCAAATCTGATAAAGTCTTGATTTAAAATGTCGGCAATTTCTATCATTACATTGAGCGTGAAATTCCCTGGCTTCTGATTGGCTGTTGACGGGATATCTGATTGGCTTAATAAGATATCGAATAGGATATCGAATAGGATATCGAATAGGATATCGAATAGGATATCGAATAAGATATCTAATAGGATATCGAATAGGATATCGAATAGGATATCGAATAGGATATCGAATAGGATATCGAATAGGATATCGAATAGGATATCGAATAGGATATCGAATAGGATATCGAATAGGATATCGAATAGGATATCGAATAAGATATCTAATAGGATATCGAATAGGATATCGAATAGGATATCGAATAGGATATCGAATAGGATATCGAATAAGATATCATATAGGATATCGAATAAAGATTAAATGAAGAAAAGATCGAGATATCAAGCATTGATCAGATATTCACAAAACAAAAGGAAAGCCTTAGGGGCCGTTGCCACCTGACAGACTCTAAACTGTCAACTGTCAACTGACAAATATGTCAACAGAGAAATTTGTCATCTATCAACTGGCAAACTGGCAACTGACAAATTTGTCACCTGGCAAAATGGTCACAAAGCAAACTTGTTGCATGGCAAATTGTAAACTGGAAAAGTGTTCCATGGCAACTTTGTTCCGCGGTAATATTGTTCTATGGCAAAGTGCCGCCTGGCAAATTATTGAAAGGACCTAGGTAACTGGCAACTCGCCACAGGCATAAATTAACATTAAAATACATACCTAAGACTCCTATTGTAATGCTAGAGATCATTTTAGAGAATATCTGGGAATATTTTGCCAATTAGTTTATGATGAAGAAAATAATGAATACTTAATAATTTTCTTTATGAAAATAATTTACGAGGAATAGATATCTTCTTTTAATAATATTTGTGAAATACTGTTTTCGTGATTATAATATACATTTTAACAAGGCTATGTTTCTGATCAAAATGTTTAAAAATGTTTTTTTTTTTAACAAAATGACGTGACAATCTTCGTCATCGTTTAGGATAAACAATAAACGGGAAGATCATTCAGTATTTTCTATGAAAATCTTTAAAAAAAAGTTTTACTTCCCTGGATTGTGAAATAAAACGGTAACTTCAAAACCTTTGTCTGATCAAGTAAAAAATTAGAAATCAATGTTTTTGTTTCTTTAAACAGTTTATTTTCAATTGCGGTTTTTTTGCTTCTAAGCAGCAATGATGGTGAAACTCAATATTCTAAAATCAGAAAAATGACGGTATCTTCCACATTTTGGATCAGCTCAAGGTTTCAAGGGTACCGTTGTGAATCGGGCATTGCCAGTTGCCACCATTGCAAAATTATCCTTACAGTCCCTTTAAAGTTAATTGTCAATTCTTAAGCTTAAAAAAATAAAATATCTCTTAAACATAATCAAATAAGATATTTTGAACAGAGTACTGTTGTGAGTCGGAGAGGAATTGAGTTTTTGCCACAAACTCGAATTTTCTAAATCCTTTATCTTTTTAACCTGATGCTGAAAACCTTTGATATTTTTAACTTCGACTATTCACATTACTTCACGCGTCCAGCTATAGGGTTTACTCGCGTGCTTAGTGAGTACTCAGAGGGCGAATTTAAAGAATCCGAGTCGCGGCTTAAGTCCGCCAAAACCCGCCACATTTGTATATAGCTGATTTTTCATAATATGTTTTAATTGTTATGATCTGAGAGTTACTTATAAAAATATTTATTCCTGTTTCGAGGATTTTTGGTAATGAAGACGACATTTTAAAACAAGTTGGAAGCTAAATATTATTTAAAAAAATAAAATCAAAACATATTATGAAAAATCAACTATATACAAATGTGGCAAAGATAATCGATGACTATAGGTTGTAATATCTAAATGATTTGTTTGAAATTAAATAGATTTTTTTACGGTCTAAGTCGTATGTTGCATTTTTCTGAATTTGTATGGACACTACGTTCTTCGATATTTATAGCCGTTTTTAACAGTTTTCTCCTTATGGACGCAACAGCTAGAAGTAAGATTTGTTGCGATCAAAAGCGCTTTTTTATCGCATCAAGCCTATACCCTCGACTTTCATTTTACGCGAACACTCCCTTTAAATAAAATAGATAATTAAAAAAGAATATTATCATTAACTTTTCGTGTCACTTTATAAAATAGGAATTCTAATCATGGGATGGAATGAAAAAATATCAATGTTAAGAATTTGTAGCTCTCAAATATTAGAATTCACTGAAACTGACCTTCATGTGTTGTATGAGCCCTCTCTCCCCATTTCAAATTTAATCGTTGCCCCCTTCCCTCGCCCCCCTCCTCCCGATCCTGCCTCCCTATACACCGAGGCTGGGTAGGGACTAGGGATGTTGATCGTTATCAAAAAACAATCGTATCGTATTTAGAAAAAACGAAGGCCCACTTTTGAAAAACGAAGCGACGATAGGATCGTTTTCTTGAAAAAGCGACAATTTTCTTTAAAAACTATCGTTTTTGAAAAAAATTTCGCTGATAAATATAATTTATTTTTACATTTAAATTCTTCCCTTTTTATTAATTAAGAAAATTTTATGCATGTTGTTTAACATGGTTTTTTTTGTTCGGTAGCTAACGATCGTTATTCGTTAACATACATTCTTTATAAACAAAGGGTCGTCGTTAACTGTCCTTAACGAACGTCAAAAATTAAAAACGACCTGCATTTGATAACGAAACGTAGAACTAAAACTAAAAAACGTCTCATGTGTTTTTAAGTTTAAAAAACGATCGTTTTCAAAAAAATTTAAAACGATCCATCCATATAGACGGGGCAGCAAAATTCTTGGCAATGTTTATACAAGTTTTAACTGTTTATGAACCATTAGATAAAGAAAACTTTAGCTTTATTATACAGTGAGAATCATAAAACTATGGAATAAGGAGCAGACTTTAGACTCAAGTTATGAGTTTAAATGAACATGAGACACAACAAGGGCAGTGTAAACTGACTCATTTTACTTAATAATTGATTTAATAAGTTTTATAAAATTATTTGCTAAGTAATAATATCAAATACACTTAAGCACTGATTTAATGTTGTCTTCGTCTTCCAAAAATCTTTACGTTGTTTTTATTTTTCATAAAATTTCAGAAGCTTTATGATCTGTAAAAGATGTAGCTATAGATGATTAGAATTGCGTAAAACTAGAAATTATGTAAAGGATTGTCTTAATCTCTTAATCTTGATAAGCCCCCTCAGCTTGATAGCTTGATTTTTCCCCCATAACTGAATCTCACGTTATAATGATTCATAAACTTCGGCGGCCGAGTTAAGGAAACTAATATAATATTAAAGAACACTTGGAGTTAAAGATAGGCATCGTATTTTTGACCGAAAATGTTTTTGAAAACGAACAAAATTTTTCATAAAAAAGGGGTCATTCAGAAAAAATCGAACAAATGACGATCGAAATGGATCGTTCAGAGAAATGACAAAAATTATCGTTTTTTTTAAAAACGAACGATTAAAAATCATTCGAAAGAACTTGAAAAATCGATAGTTTTTTTGTTGAACGAAAATTTTCCAAAAGATTTTAAGAAAAAAAACGATAGATAGGCGCGTAGTGGGGGGGGGGCGGTACCATTAGGTGCCTTTCCTAGTGCCAGTCAGGCTCTAATTTATTAAACAATAAACTTACATATATATTTAGATTTTTTACTTTTCTTATCAATCGACAATACTACAATTGGTCCATTTTATGATTATTTCTCAAATTAAAATTAGATTTTAAACTATATTTTTTTCTTAATACCGGTTTTTTAGGGGGGTGCACATAAACCGTTATGGGGTGCACAAAAAAAATTTCTGCGCGCCAGAAGTACACGGCCCCCTAGGCTGAACCTCCACTACGCGCCTGTTTAAAGGGTTCCTAATCTTTAAAGGGTACCTAATCTTTAATGGGTTCCTAATCTTTAATGGGTTCCTAATCTTTAAAGGGTTCCTAATCGTTAAAGGGTACCAAATCTTTAAAGGGTACCTTATCTTAAAAGGTTCCTAATCTTTAAAGGGTGCCTAATCTTTAAAGGGTGCCTAATCTTTAATGGGTTTCTAATCTTAAAAGGTGCCTAATCTTTAAAGGGTTCCTAATCTTTAAAAGGTTCCTAATCTTTAAAGGGTAACTTATCTTAAAAGGTTCCTAATCTTTAAAGGGTGCCTAGTCTTTTAAGGGTGCCTAATCTTTAAAGGGTTTCTAATCTTTAAAGGGTGCCTAATCTTTAAAGGGTTCCTAATCTTTAAAGGGTTCCTAATCTTTAAAGGGTGCATAATATTTAAAGGGTGCCTAATCTTTAAAGGGTTCCTAATCTTTAAAGGGTGCCTAATCTTTAAAGGGTACCTTAATTTTAAAGGGTTCCTAATCTTTAAAGGGTGCCTAATCTTTAAAGGGTACCTTACCTTTAAAGGGTACCTAATTCCACACCGACCTTTGTACAGACAATAATATTTTATATGAAATTATTACGTAACAAAGAAATGTTGTTATTATTCAACACCAAATTAGCAGTAAACTGGGCTTATCTAGAGTCAGTATCTTGATAACAAGATGAGCAAAGATAAATAAAATGATAAAATGGAATATTTTATTATATTTCAGAACTGATCCTTGAACGTTGATCAATAATATACATTATAAGTATATGCATTGATACTTACCATAAAAAGATAAATTTGTTATCCGTTTAAATCATGTTTTTTCTAAAATTCAGTAAAAATAAACCCTTTAAAATTTACGTACAATCAGAACCACTGTTCGAGGTTAAATTGAAGTCAAAACTTAACAGTGTTGTTAAATGTTGTAAGATATCTGCGGGCTGTAAGTTTTTTTTTTTTTTTTGGGGGGGGGGGTATGCAAATTCTGTGTTTTTACTATCAAAAAATGAATAAATATTTGAACTATTTGTCTGATAGGATAATTATAATAAGTTGTTAACGATAATCATGAGCTTTTCTTGAAAATAAGCGTTAAATTTATCATTACTATGGTTTTCATTCATTATAAATGTGATCAATCATTGTGCAATATTTTGTGTTTTACCAATGTAAAATAAATAAATATTTGAACTTTAAAAAAAAATTTTAAAAATTATTAAAAAAATATTAATATTTCAATTTAATTCTTCTGACAGTGAATAAAGACGTAATGAACCCCAGATTTCATGAACTGCATTTTCGATTTACAACAGATGCTATTTAAACCTAAGTCTGATCTGGGATGAATGAGATAACCCCTTTTTCTTTCTGATAATCGATAATTTTCTTTGAAAAAAAGACTTGCAGATTTATGCAGCATACACAAAGTAGAAAATTGTCAGAATTCAACTCTTTTTAGATCCACGATATCCTCCTCATTGTCACTCAGATAAAGGGTTTAAGGGTATCTCTGTGAATCGTAAATTTCTCTCTTAGATTGGAAGGTCACGTGACACGTCTTTAACAATATCAGAAAACTTACTTTAAAATATTCAATAATTAGAGAATAAAATGGCTGCTCAAACCAACGGAAATACAGGTAATAAATTCGGTTTTTGTCACAAACTCAAATTTACGAATCCTCACATCTTTGCAACCTGATGGTGTAAATCTTTGATATTTCAAATAGAATTTGTAGTTTGACATATCGTTTACATGATTGTACATGACAAGAAAATTATATGATTAATATAATATGGAATTTAAAAAAAATATTTTTAAAAATTTAGATGTATATGTTACTCCTGGGTTCCCTAAAAAAATGTCAGCCCATTCGGTCCAGCCGTTTGGCCAGCTATAGGGAACATATATATGAATGTGTTTTTTTATTATATAGTTATACATTGTTATTAAATGTTATTCTTTTGAGCACTATATATCTGTATGTTTAAAATAGGACAGATGTGTGCGGTGTAATTATAAAAGAATTTTCAACGATCTATTTTAAACAAATTTCTTATTCTTGAATCTTAAAGAATTTGTCCAAAACACTGCATACTCAGTTTAAGCACATCACATAGCCGGTCCATCCTTTTATTGCAGATAGTTAAAGAAGTTTGGTCTATTCTCATGTGATTTCTACCAAAATTAGTTTACCTTGGATGTCCGATCTCTTGTGTAGAGGGACGTTTATCTTGAACGTTTGATCTCAATATCCAATGTGGCACTTTTTAATTTGAGGTTAAATACTTGATCCATCAATTAAAGTTATCTCTGCAGAATAAGACCAATACGGTTTATCTGAGAGTAATGACATTTATACCTTAGCCTTCAGTAGATGGGGATCAATACTTGATCCTTAGATTCGGAACCCATGACAGGAACCAAGAACATTATCCAAATCCAAGTTGTTACAATGAATATCGAGATCAAGTGTTGTAGATTATCGCTATTTCTCAAAAGTGTTGACCTTTGATAACTATAGGGAGAGCTGAGGGCGATTTTATCGTAAAAAGTGGATTAGCGCAGATGACAAAGCGTGGACTTATCATGGACGTTGTTACAGCTGATCAGGCCAGGATAGCGCAGGAGGCAGGGGTTAGTGTTCATTCATTTATTCATTTATTCATTTATTCACCTATTCATCTATTCAATTATTCATTTATTCATTTATTCATTTATTCATTTATTCATTTATTCATCTATTCAATTATTGATTTATTCATTTATTCCTTTATTCGTTTATTTATTTATTCATTTATTCATTTATTCGTTTGTTCATTTATTTTTTTATTCATTTACTCACTTATTCATAAATTCATTTGTACATTGATTCATTTATTTATTCATTTACTCATTTATTCATTTATTCATTTATTCATTTATTCGTTTGTTCATTTATTTTTTATTCATTTACTCACTTATTCATAAATTCATTTGTACATTGATTCATTTATTTATTCATTTATTCATTTATTCATTTATTCATCTATTCAATTATTGATTTATTCATTTATTCATTTATTCATTTATTCATTTATTCAATTATTGATTTATTGATTTATTCCTTTATTCGTTTATTTATTTATTCATTTATTCATTTATTCATTTATTCATTTATTCAATTATTGATTTATTGATTTATTCATTTATTCATTTAACGACACTTTAAAAATACTCGGATATTTTTAAAGAGATCTCTTAAATATCAAATTGACATTCTAAATACATTAGGATATCTTTCCTCATATGCCACTTGATTTAAAAAGTAGTGCTTTCAAAACCTAGTAATATTCATCACATTGTAAGTGATAATATTAATTAGGTGGGGATAATACCCAAAACAGCGATTAAGCTAATCCTCCTAATTGTTACATACATATAGTATAAACAATATAAAAATAATTGCAGATTTGTTGCCTGTAACATTATAAATTGTATGTGCATTTTTAGCAAAAACTTATATCTTATCTTATCTTATCATGTATTCATTTATTCAATTATTCAATTATTCATTTATTTATTTGTTCATTTATTCATTTATTCATTTATTCATTTATTCGTTTATTCATTTATTCATGTATTAATTGGTTCATTTATTCCTTTATTCGTTTATTTATTTATTCATATATTAAATTATTCATTTATTCACAAAAGGCAAGGGTTATTGAATTTATTCATTTTTTTATTTTTTTATTTTTGGTTTTTCATTATTGTATTGTAAGTATTATTTTAGGCCGTAGCCGTGATGGCGTTAGGAAAAAACATTTGATAATATATTTTTTTCTGATAATCCAAAATAATTTTTTACTTAAAATTCAATACTATTTTGTAATTTTATGTATAAAAATTCAAGCCTTTATGAAGTTTTTTTTCTATTAAAAATAAAAAAGCTCTTTTGTGCGCGACATTTTCCTCAATTTCCAATAAAATTTGTCTCGAGTTTATTCATTATTTTATCTATAATAATTGGCAGAGGTGTCACGTACCCATGGGAGAGGGGGGGGGGCGCGGGTATGTGGGCTCAGCCCCTTCTCCTGAATCAGAAAAAATCTATGGGTTTCAAAAAGTTTTCTGGCCCCAACGGGTACTGAGCCCCCCCCCCCCCTGGAAAGAAATTTGATGAAGCCCCTGAGTAATTCCGGTGTATACACCCCTTATAATTGGACCCTTATTATTTACTCAAATAAGTAAATAATATTTTAAATCTAAATACAAAGAAATGTTTGTGTAGAACGGGTACCGGCTGACATCAGGAAACCTACACATTGAATTATTTAATTTATTTGCAAAAAAATGTAATCTTATAAAAGCAGTAAAGTGCAACCATTAAAAGATATCATTAACTTTAAAAACTTTAATTAATTTTGTTGTTGTTGTTGTTAAAGAGAAAATATAGAGTACCTTTACTCGGAAAATCTAATTATTTGATTTCCAGAATTTGGAAAATGATTGTTATCTTAACTTTATGTGATCTATCCTGACATAATACATAATTTCACAACTGAACCTGACCACGATCGTTACAAACTCTAATTTTTTTATCCATATAAAGACTAAAGATTAAATTATTTGGTTGATCAAGGCGAGATGGAGGTATTGCGAGAATGACAGATCCAAAACTAATAAAGGTAGTATATCCTTTATATTTTTAAATTAATTTATTAATAATAATTTTTTGTCGTGCCTTCAATCTTCTTTAAAAATGATAACAGGAAAATCTGCGAAGTTAATGATGGTTAAATCTTTTATGATTGAATTAGAAAAGCTTTCTGTCTGTTAATGTAGGTTGTAGAATCAGAAATAAAAAGCTACAGTTTAACCAGAGCTTAAGAGATCAAAAAAATTTATAAAATATCGTCTTGACGTTTTTCAATGGGGGTTATCCTACACTACCTTTATCTTAGTTATTATAAAAATAAATATAAATCCATGATATATGTGGGAACAGTTCCTAAGTTCTGGGCTAGACTGTAAGATTACCAATAACGAGAGAAAAGGGTCGCGAAGTGCCTTGTAAACATTTTTTAACGTTGATTTTTCCGCATTTTTTCCGCGAAATTTTCGATTTTCTATATCGCGAAATTTCGCATTTTTACGCAAAACAGATCAAAGTGAAATTTTGCGAAAATGACAGAACATTTTCGCATTTTTCGCGAAAAAAGCGAATTTTTCACCGAATTTTTTTTCTTCCATATTTCGCTGGACACCTTAGTTACAGTTCATGTTTTACATCATTTTCTGCACAGGAGAAATGTTGACAGTCCCTTTAAATTCACGTAGAGAAATGTTGACAGTCCCTTTAAATTCACATAGAGAAATGTTGACAGTCCCATCAAATTCACGTAAAGAAATGTTGACAGTCCCTTTAAATTCACGTGGAGAAATGTTGACAGTCCCTTTAAATTTAGGAAATAATGGCAGCAGTGACAATACCGGTTTTTGCTAAAGTACGAATCGGACATTTTGCTGAAGCACAAATCCTGGAAGCCCTAGGAGTAGATATGATCGACGAATCGGAAGGTTTGAAATTTAGAAAATCCACGAAAAATTAATATTAAATCCGCAAATATTTTTGTTATTACTTTATATTGTACATAGAGAAAATGTTTACAGATGGGCCATAATCAAAATTTGAAATAAAGAAGGACTCGAAGCGTCCAGAACTTTTTAATTTGCATCATCAAAGTACCAGAGAATTGTTGTTCAACTACGTCTACAAAGAAATTCAAGTACTTTGCGTTGCTAATCAAATCTGCTCAGTTGGCCACCTTTCTTCTATTTTGTTTTAATACAGAGAAACTTACTCATAAATGTTTATCATGATGATTTTTCGATGTTGAACAATTTCCTTGAATTTTTTGTCTTTGCAATAGCCAGGGAGTAAGAAATAGAAGGGAGATATAACTGACACGGTTCGCCCATATGATTATGCAAGCTTTGCGGACGGGTACTCCATTTGTATAAGAAATATTTGTCTGATGTACATTTACCTCGTATACAATAACCTATTCTGAATATTTCATATACAAATGAAGTACCGTCTGCAAAGCATGTATAATCATATGGTAGGGCGAACCGCGTCAGTTATATCTCCCTTCTATTCCTTACTCCCTGGCGCAAGCACAACTAATTGATTATTTGCCGCTTCCAGCATTAATTATTATTTATTTGTTTAGTTTTAAGTTCTGCGGATAATGAGTTCCACATTGATAAAAGTCCGTTTACTGTTCCCTTCGTGTGCGGAGCTAGGTTAGATCGATAAGAATTAAACAAATATTTAAAAAAATTAGAGCGATAACTTTAATAGTTTGGGTGCTAGGGAGGGTAGAAAAAAATGCCAAAAGAAAGGTCAACAAAATTTAAAAAATATATTTTGGTTTTGTTTTAAACAAATATCAAAGTGTGACACATGTTCTATATACATTTTTCAAGGGCTTTTCAAAAATATAGTTTTCAGATCTGTAGCTTTAGTCACAAAAAAGTTATGGGCTATTTTAGATTTGGTTTAACACAGACCTGACTTTTTACTGCCCTGCAAGACAGTATCCTACCCTATAATGCACTAAAAAAAATTTACAATAATTATTTTAAATTCTATACATTAAAAGTAACAAAGTTTTACGGTAATATAGCGTCAAAAATGAAAGTGCTAGGAGAAAAAACTATTCAGGGTTAATGGATCTTGCTTCTGATATGTTGGTGCTAGAAGGTTTAGATGGGGGTTTTCGCCCAGTCGAAATTTCGAAAAGAATGTTAGGAAATTCGAAATAAAAGTTCTTATTTTCGAAAACCTTTTGGTAGTTTAATATTACAAACAGTGTATATATACATACATAGTTTTCATAGTTTTCAACTATGGTTTAAATTCTTCTATGTTTAGAGATCTAGGAGAGGCCTTGAGAAGGATCGCTGAAGGCGCTGCTATGATAAGGTTTGGAATTTAAACGAATTTTTTATGTCGTCTTTTTTTGTAAGACAAGGTATAGGATCCGATTTCTTCATCAGAGAAAAACTTTTAATTTTCTTTCAAGAAATATGGTATTTTTCTATCAGGAGAAATATTGAATTTCTCATTCAGGGAAAATATTGTATTTCTCCTTCAGGAAAAAATTATCTCCATAACTGGAGATTATGTCTACAGTCACTTTAAGATGAGATTATATGTTAATCTGTATTTGTTTTCTCCATCTGCACTTTCAGGAGCTGTTGAGAAAGGTTTACACCAAATTCTCTTCAACGAAATATCGGATAGAAATGAAAGTGTCAATCATTTTGTGAGTTGCCATATTGGAAACTAACGCGGAAACGAAAAAAATTGAAACATTTTTGAGATATAGGATTATTTATTCATTTGTTCTGCAATTTATAATCTAATTGATCTGAACAAGATGCTCAGTTGAAAGGAATTTGAAACTGGGAAAACTTTAGTTAAGTCTTACTATTGTTAGTTAACTTAGCTTAAAACCTGAAAACGTTCATAAAACACTTTTGGGAAAAATCTTAAATGTAATGAAAAATTATCTTATTTTAGAACTAAAGGTGAGGCAGGGACAGGAGACGTAGTTCAAGCTGTTAAACACGCCAGAACTATTAAACGAGAGATTGATGCTGCTAAGGTAAAGTAAATCCGCCAATCATCAGATTTAAAAAAAACAACAAGGAAGAACAGTTTCAATTAACAATACTCCCTTAAACTGTATACGCGTAATTTCAAGTGATCCTCCATGAAAAATTGGTAATGCCCGATTCACAACGATACCCCTTGAAACCTTTATCTGATCAATAATTTGGAAGATATTATTGTTTTTCTAGGTCTAAAATTGTGTTCAATTAGATAATTCCTGCAGTAGAAATGCGCAAGTGAATATGGTAGATAAACCACAATTGAAAATAATCATTTTTTAAATTGTAAAAAATTATATCTAATTCATAGCTGATCATGCAAGCTTTAAAAGGCCGGCACCGTTGAGAATCAAGCATTGCCATCTTTGCATGCTGAGGGTCGTTTGAAACTACGCTCACAGTCCCTTTAATAAACTCTGGCAGACATAATAATTTTATGTCTTTTGAAATCAGGTATAGCAATGCTAATTCATAACAAAGACGATAACGAATTCGTCACTGAATTCCAATTTTTTTTTGGGCCACCCTGTACGTAAGTTTATTGATATTGATATGAGTTCATTGATATTGGCCATTTACAGGGTATCCCAAAAACATGGGAATTCATTGCCGAATGCGTTATCGTCTTTGTTATGAATTAGCATAGTAATAACTAATTTGAAAAGACATAATATTATTATGGCTGCTAGAGTTTATTTTATGAAAACGGTAAATGGCTGTAAAGATGTGTCTATAATGGGTTTGCAAGATAAAAATTCAAGACGGACAAGTTTACTCCTTTTTGTATACTGTAATTTTCTTGTTTTACTAAGCACAACCGTATGCAGTTAAATCAAAAACAAACAAATTGTGAATATAGCAGACAAAAATCTTACAGATTACAGCTTTCTCAGTAGGTATCACTATACTAAATCAAAGAATTATTTGAAAAGACGATATCGAATTCGTCACTGAATTCCCATGTTTATCGGGACACCCTGTACAATGTGTAAAATACCAGTGAAATAACTCGGGATTAGAAAGACGATTTTAAAATTCAAGTAATAGACCAACGAACATGAGACACAGAAATTGACACACTGAATAATTTTCATAACCAGCTTGACATATTAGTATATTTACTGTAAAAACTTTAATTTTTTATGTTTTTATTTTTCCTTTTAAACCAATATCATGCTGGCATGAAGCTATATTTTTATAACATAGTGATTTATTGCTCAGTTTAGCTGCCATGGTCTAGCTTTGGGAAAACCTTTGTAGGAAAATTCTTATCTTCAACTTAAAAGTTTTATCAATTTCATTTTTGAAACATTGGCCTTAAAAATACTTGAATTCAATAAAAATGTAACTGGCAGGTTTTTATAATGGTACAGCTCAAAAACTTGAAACTTTAAGTTAAAACTAATTACTAACTACGTCTTATCTGTTCATATAATTGACTTTTTTGAACTGCCCAATTGGTAGATTTCATATATCTTGTACATTGTATCATTTGATTTGATTGTCTACCACACAAAAAAGTATTATTTTACATTGCAATTCCTTAAAAAAATTTACAGTTAATTATCCTAAATAAGCCATACATCGAAAGCATTTATCAAATGTCGTCTTGACAATTTTTCAATGGGTTTTTTACTATTTTACGTAAATCTCAATATTTGCGAAAATAAATAAATGGCCATGAATATGCCAGAATAGTTCTAAAGAGCTTCATATAATCATTTAATTTAAAAAAAACTAAATATCTGCAACATTTCATAATCAGAAAGTGAAGAATACGACATTTGATGAATTCTTTCGATGCATTGCTTATTTAGGGTTCAACTGTATGAAAAAAGAAGAAAAATGCAACAACTTAAAAAAAAGAGCTAGGAAAAGATTTGCGGGCATTCAAAAGCTTAAACAATTCCAAGGAAGGATTAGCTGATTTCTAGATAACATATGATAATCAACTTATTTCTAGATGATGGATGATAATCAGCTAAGGGCGTATGCTAGACATCTAGGAGTTTCCTTTCCTCTGCTAAAAGAAACAGCGGAGAAGGGAAGATTGCCTGTTGTGAACTTTGCTGCCGGAGGAATAGGTAAAGTGTCCCACGAAACATGACAATTGTTGAATAGTTTTGAAGGCCTTCTTTCATATACTTTATTAGATAGTAGTAAGACTTTTTGCAGTTTACTTCGTTATAAATTGTTTACTTCAATATATTTTACTTTGAAGTGAATTTTACTATAATATATACCTGATCATATTTTGATCATTCTCTTTGGTATCATTTCATTTAAACTATTCACCAACTGTCATGTTTTATGCGACACCCTGCAGTATAAAAGGCCTTACACATTAAAGGGATCGTTCATTTATTTGAAAATATAAAAATTATCCTAATTTACGAAATTCGGATCACATTCAGGACTAAGCCTATCTTACAGTTTAAAGATGTTAAAGACCTTGTGTTCGTATTTCTAAACGTGGATATTCTGAATAATCTCAATGAATTCCTTTTAAGTTTTTCGGCTTTACTTTGACTTCATAAAATTATGAGGAGTTTTAATGTACGAATTGGTGCGAAGTTGTTTTATTTGCAATAGTATAAAAAATTCTTTACCCAATATTCATTTCATTCTAGACATCTGATCAATTGGTGCTCTCTGTGTTTTCCAATATGTAAACATTTCATTAGAAAATTCCCCTATTCACCACGGTACCCTTGAAATCCTTATCTAATCAATTATGCAGAAGAAATGCGGCAGCGCAAGACACGTTTGTAGAAAATCCACAGTTAAAAAATCAGTTTTCAAAATTATAAACATGGATATCTAATTCATACTGGATCAGAAAAATTCTTTTAGGGGAACCGGTGTGAATTTAACATGCCAATAAATAATCGGTTTCTTGATATTGCGTCTACAAACCCTTTAACCTTTAATCCAGTAAACAGTTTTATTATGATCTGTTGAAAATATTCGAATTCCAAACTTATTTTTTACTTTAAATTCTTTAATAAAAGCCGTTTTAGAAATTCTATAAAATCTGAATTTAAAAAGAATAACACTTACTTTATAAATTTATGGAGAAAACACAAAGCTTAAATCTACCACTCCTTGTTGGCAACAAATATCAATCTAAAAGTGACAGAAAACAATTATTTTTGAAGTTTTGTAAAAAAATATTTTTGAGTTTTTGAAAAAAATTCTTTTTGAATTTTTGAAAAAGTTCTTTTTAAATTTTTGAAAACAACTTTTAACGCAAACTATAACGGATCAGCTGCGCTGAGTTTACACTGTACGCATCTTACACCTGGTGTTACATCAATTTAACCGCTATTTGAGAGATTTACACACTGAGTTCTCTGTGCTTGCTGAACAGACAAAAGCTTAAAGAGTACCGTTGTAGATCCAGCCATGGAGGGTCACTTGAAATTTTGCTTACAGTCCCGAAGTCTGTTTATTTAGCAACCGTGTAGTTAAGTTTTTTTTCTTTTCAGCTACCCCGGCAGATGTAAGTCTTCTCATGCAGCTTGGTGTTGATGGAGTCTTTGTTGGTTCAGGCAAAATCATAATCATTCAATCAATCAATCAATCATTTTAATCAAGCGATAAACCAATCGATAAATCAATCAATTAGTCAATTATATGATGTGAATATTTTAACAAATAAATCAATAACTAAATCAATCGATAAACCAATCAATCAATCAATCAATTGTTTCATTAATCGAACCACCAATCAATTAGTCCATTTATTAAGCATTTAATTAACAAAAAATCGGTAAAAAATCAACTCTATCAAAGTTGCTTGGAGGGGGGGGGGGGGTATATGGAAATAGTAAATATAATAAACCTATACTGGAATTAACACGTTAATTTATTTTATGTCGACATTCCATTCAGTTTTTCTGGAAAAGTTTCTCCCAAATTAAGGTTTTAATAATCCACACAATTCGCAGAAAAATGTAAAAAAATAAATGATGCAACTCAACGAAGCTATTTTCAAAAATTCTCCTTATAGATATTAGACATTGATAAATTTTCCAGGCGCTTTTTATTTTTTTTATTTTATGCATTTTAACGTTTTATTTTAATTTTCGGCCCATTCATCGTGTAGATGTTTATAAACTTAAAAAGATCGATATGTAGAAAAACATTATTTTTTAAGGAAAAATATTGTGACAGTTAAATGACTGCAATCTGAAATTGCAAACTATTGATAGAACTTGATTGGAAATTTGTGCAGTTTCTTTCAAAAATGTAAATAATTAATGCGAATTTATTTTAAACCTTTTAAGATTTTGTATCTTGTTTTTATTTGTTTTTTTTTAATGTTTTTTAAATTAATTGGTTTTTAAATATTTTCTAAATGGTTTCTAAATGTATTTTAAGTGGTTTCTAAATGTTTTCAAAATGATTTCTAAATGGTTTCTAAATGATTTCTTAATGTTTTCAAATGCTTTTTAAATGGTTTCCAAATGTTTTAAAATGTTTTCTAAATGTTTTAAAATGGTTTCTAAATGGTTTCTGAACAGTCTCTTATTGGTTACAAATTGGTTGTATTTTAAATGGTTTCGGAATTCATTGCTGACATCCATGTTTGATCTTCTTTGACATATATCCATGTTTGATCTTCTTTGACATACATCCAACCATATGTACAGTTTTTGTAACACATAACAAAATAACAGTATGATTGTTACAAAGAATGATTGTTGATTTCAAGGTATTTTTAAAAGTGGAAACCCAACAAAACGTGCAAATGCTATGGTTCAGGTAACAACCATTAAAATAGTAATTTTAAATTTAAAACTTTAAGTGGTACATTGAGAGTTTTTTAACTTATAAGTGGACAGTATTATGCATCACCCCCCCCCCTGGTTTTAATTTCTCTTTTTTCTAACTTTTCCAAAAAAGCTTAAATAACAAATTATTGCATCAGGCTTAAACTAAAAACAGGCAAAAATTAAACACAGTTTTTTAGTTTTGAATTGAGCCCATTATACTGCCTTGCGGAGCAAGAAGTCTGTTTCTAATTTTCCCTCCAATTCAGGCAGTAAACTGTAAATAGCTTTGTTCTTTTCAGGCTGTAAATAGCTTAGTTATATTCAGGCCGTAAATAGCTTAGTTATATTCAGGCAGTAAATAGCTTTGTAATATTCAGGCAGTAAATAACTTTTTTCTATTCAGGCAGTAATAGCTTTGTTATATTCAGGCAGTAAATAACCTTTTATATTCAGGCAGTAAAGAGCTTAGTTATATTCAGACAGTAAATAGCTTAGTTATATTCAGGCAGTAAATAGCTTTGTTCTTTTCAGGCAGTAAATAGCTTTTTTCTATTCAGGCAGTAAATAGCTTTGAAGATCCGACCCTTCTAGCAGCTCTCAGTGAGGATCTGGGAGAACCAATGGTTGGCATCAGCTGTGATCAGGTTTAAGATTATTTTAAGAAAATTAAAACATTTTTGATCACTTTATTAATGTACGATACAAGGTTACTCACAACGGATGAGACTTTAGAGACGACTTTAGGGAACTTGTTGAGATTTTTTTTTCATACACTCATGGTTATTTTTCGCCGTAAGCCTATATCCCCTTTCATTTTTCGCGAACACTCCCTTTAAAGTCTCTTCTTTGTGGATAACCCTGTTGTAACAAGAAAAAAATGCTAGGACAGATTTTTAGATAATTATTCCACGGATTTTTTGATTTTTAAATACTTTTTAGATTAACTTAACCCTTATTAGTCTATTTTCTCCCGAGTTCAGAAACAAATTCTTTGCTACAACCTCTGATTTTTAAAATACCAATATTTTTGCAACCCGATATCATAGACTTTTAATATTTTAAACTATGAATTTTGTCAGACCAAATATCGAATAGTTTGTAACATCAAAGGTGTTCACCACCCGATTGCAAAGATATAAGGAGTAGAAAATATGTGTTTCTGGAAAAAAAACTCAGTTTCTTACCCCGGGAAAATAAATTTTAAAAGGTTAAGTTAAGCAAAAATTGTGCCCATGATGATGCAAGTAATTAAATTTTCCAAAAATCCTCGATTGCAGATAGGGTTTCCATTCGCAAAACTTTTGCGCAATTTTTGCGGAACGGAACGCAAATTTTTTCTTTCTTTGCGCATCAGTTTTGCGCGAAAAAACAACAATTTGCGCAATCATTCGCAAAAGTAATTTCGCGCAAAATTGCCATATTCCGCTTTTGCGAAACTCAAGTTTTGCGCAATTCCGCAATTTCGTAAAAATCAAACGGTTGGTGACGGTGTGTGTTTCTTAGAATTCAATTCTGGAAAAATCTTGTTTTGGAATGTCTTCCTATATTTGGTCACTTTTACATAATTGACCTATGACAGTTAAGAAGAGTTCAAATCTCACAATTTTCTCCACAATTTAAGTTTTGGACATGCATATTTCCTAAAAGGGGATTCTTCAGGCATAATTGTTACTTTCTTGCATTATTTTATATGAGATTAAAAAGATTTCAGAAATTTGATTAAAAAAATTTAAGAATATAATTCATACTTGATTAGGCAAAGCTCTTAAGGGTTACTTGAAATTATTTAATAGGATTAAAATAAGTTTCACTCTCTCTAATTTCTATTTTATTAATTTTGGTCCCTTAATTTAAACTTTTTGTAACTGGAAGTAACCAATAATCGTTATCATACTCGTATGTTAATATTTTTTTTTTATGGTATGGAATAAATCTTCAGTTGTTTAATTCTAAGCTTAGAATATCAATTTCTGACAATTTGCCTAAAAAGTTACATTTTACGTAAAACTTGCGGTTTTGCGCAAATTACGCAAAAAAATTGCGCAAAACTAAAATTTCGTTTCCAACTTTCGCAAAAAATATTTCCGGTTTTGCGCAAATTGCGCAAAAAATATAGTGCAAAACCGCGCAAAACTCAATGCGTTTCATGCACAAAAATAGCGCAAAAGTTCGCAAAAAAAATTTGCGCGAAAATAGCGCAAATTTAGGCAAAAGATTTAGCCATTTCGTGGAAACCCTAATTGCAGATGATAAATCCCAAAATCTAAAGCTATCTTAGGTCAATTGAGGTCAATTTACTTTTTTAGCATCAATATTTTTAATTTGTGTAGATGCAGACTAAATGGGAGACAAAGGAGAGCCAGCTAAACCAATAATCGTTCAGTATCAACTTTGAAAAGAAAGAATCTAAGAAAAAAATGAAACAGTGTTATTGAAATGTTTCAAAAATCTGAAAATGAATCAAAAATAAATATATTTTGTAAATCAAGACTACAATTTCTTTTGGAGTGGGAGCAAGCCATGATTTCGAGTGCACAGTTACTCCCTTTAACTCTGAACAGTCTAAAATGTCAGACTCGTCAAACTACAGTAAATTGCACAGAAGATTAAAGTTTTATATGTTTTTAATCATAACTTGGGGTGGGTACGCTCAGTATTTGTTAAACTGTTCGTTACAGCTATACAGTCCTTCAAAAGACCAAATTTTCAAAAACACTTTTAAAATAATGAATTTAACTTTAATTTTTGTGAGTTTCATGCAATTTTTGTCAGAAAAACCAATGAAAGGAATTGAGTTTTTGTCACAATTTTAAATTTTCTATTTCTATATCTTTGCAGCTTAAAGGGTGAAAACCTATGATTTTTCAAACTTAAATTATTTAATCTGACATAAATTATAGTTTGAAATATCAAAGGTTTACATCATGAAGTTGCAAAGATAAAGGGATTAGAAAATATGAGTTTGTGACAAATACTCAATTCCTTTGTTCTTTTTATTTTGCGTTATTTTTTTCTTCGTAAATGTTTATTAGTTATCTCCGTTCGTTAATTATTGAAAAATTAACGGATTTGCCTTTCTTTAACGGAATCTTTCGTTAATTTTAAAAAGATTGCCGTTCATCAACTAAACGTGACCCAGCACTAGTTTTAAAACGTTTAAGGTTCGGACTCTGTGTACAGTGTACAGTTCCACATTGTAAAGACATGTACTGTACAGCGTATGGTTGTCAAGTGTTGCAGTAGTAAAGTGTGCAGTATACATTACAACCCACCCATTGATAATCATCCTGTTTTTATGATTAGACAATGAGCTGAAGATACAGGATCATATTTCAGTTTTCAATTCTATTTAACTAAGCATGGCTCTCTACTGTGTGTGAAACAATAGGATTTTAAAAACATTTTACAGTTTAGAAGATTTTCTATATTTGTTCAACAAAAACTTTAGGCTGCTCTTTTAAGATCAAACTTTATTATCGAAGACATTTTATAGTGTAATTTTATTGGTTTCCAGAGGCCTATTGAGGGGGGGGGGGGTTCTCAGCCTCCTCCTGGACCAGCGAAATCTATGGATCTCAGGGGGTTTTCATGCCCAAACGGTTGCTGAGCCCCCCCCCCCCCCCCTGGAAAATAAATATGTAAAGCCCCCCCTGAACAAATACTTGAATACGCCCCTGTTTGTTTCCAATCAAGATTTTAAATCCACGTTATAGAACAACACCATATGATTTATACATAAAATGTACTGTTTTATGGTTTTATTTGTAGTAAGATAGAATCCGGTTTTATATGTAAACAAAAACAATAATTTGAATCCTTTTGATTTTAAAAGAGTAATTATACTTTGTCAGTTGTAGACTGTGCCAGGTTGGGTTCGAATGTGGATTATTCTTTTCTGTCTTCACAGATTAGCCGTGGCAAGATAATATTAGTTAAAATTAGTGAAACTACAGGGTGTCCCAATAAATATGGGAATTGAGGTACAACATGAAAGTCGTTTTTGACTTCAGATATTTAATGCATGGCAAAGAAAGTATAAAAATGAGGCTGTACGTCTTTCGAGTTTTTCATTAAATAGTTTATACTGTTTTCGTGTTTCAAGATATTAGATATAAAGACAATTTTGCAATATTTTCCGTCAATTTTGAAGATACAAAAATGGTAGACCTCATTTTGAAAATCTCAAGACCAGGCGTTTTCGATATTAGATGTTTAAGCTGGAATTCTGCAATTATTGTGTTCAAACAAAAAATGGAACGAAGACGATATAAAAGTCGTTATTTAATTCCCATGTTTCTTGGGACAACCTGTATAATCATGTAAATGGCAACAAATGTGCCAGCCTGAAGTAGCAATGTCATTGGTTATCAACAAAGTATGATAACTCAGGGGGACTGATCAAAATTTGTTCTTATTAAGTCTTGTTTATTCATGGTTACCGCTCGTCTTTAAAATCTTATCATGCCTTTTAAAAATCAGTTGTTGGATAACCAAACCGTCAAAGCAATTGAGACTTTGCCACAAACTCTGGTTTTTCAGTATCTGTAACCCATGGTGATAGTCCCTTAGATATTTAAACTATGAATTCTGTTATATTTAATAATCTAAGTTTGATATATCAAAGGTACACACTATCTGGTTTCAAAGATATAATGATTAGAAAACCAGAGTTTCTGCCAAAATTCAATTTAATTTCTTAGCCACAGACTTTTATATCGTCATTGATGTCTCAGTTAACATGTATCATAAGAATCTCGAAATTTTCTATATAATGAACTTAATTCTTGCGATCTCCTCTCAGATAAGCTGAACTTTCATTGGTCGAATTCAAATCAAATTATACTTCATGTATGGTTCCCTTTAGTCCTTTAGCTGACTAAAAAGAGAGAAGATTTTTTTTCTTTAATTGCGTTGAATTCTGAAAGTTTTCTTTTTTGTCTCTTTTGCATAAATCCTCAAATCATTTTTAAAAAAAGAAATGTAAAAAAAAAATTTAATTAGTAAAAATTGGAATTTCTCATTCATCTCTGATCGGATAAGGATTGAATAGTACCTTTGTGAGTCGGACGTGCTGGGTTATAGCAATAACAATATATATGTATAAATTACTTGTAAAATAAAGTAACAAAATTTAGGTATAACTGCTTGCGACATGAAATTATAGCTTTTATTAAATAATTTTTGAATGTGTATGTACTTTGCGTTAATAAGTATTTTTTTAACTTTTTCGTAATTATTTGTTATTGCTATTTTGTAAATAATTAATTATAAAGAAATTGATTCAGTCAGTCAAAGAATATTAAGAAATGTTGTAAAGACCGAAAATAATGTGTTCAACATTATACCTATTTGATTTTTTTCATATATCTATACTCTGCTTGTCTGTTTCGATTTTCGTTTATTTTTATGCTTAAAGGGAGTGGCCGGCAATGTATGGTGGTTGAACTGAGATTGCAGTATTGTAGAGAAATGTTTAGGATTCATTTGAGTCATAAAAAACGTTTTAAAGATCTATAATTACTGAATTTGAGCGCAAAGTCGACGTTCAAAATCATAAATTTGGGTAGGTACGTTTGGAGAATCGTTTTTTTTAAATTATTAAATAATGACGACAAATTTATAGTCAAAATTCTACTGTAAACTAATAAGATGTTCAGGAACATATTTCTTAAAAGAAATTTGTCAATAAATTAATGTTATAATCAATTATTTCGTTTGCATCATTATATTAAATTTCTTATTTTCTATGAATTTGTTAGCAGATTTTACAAATTCTTCAAATGTCGTCTTTTCTTTAAAAATTCCAGAAAATCTGCAGAAAATCTCTGTGAATAATGAGAGTTTATAGAAACTAATAATTGAATAAGAATACTTACTTTCGATGATAAGAGTTAACTTTTATGTACTCAACCTGTTTCTAAACAACTAATTCGGTTACTGTAGAACATGTGTTACATTTTTTGTCATCGTTATTCAATAACTGAAAAAAAAACGATTCTTAAAACGTACCCACCCGATTTGATGATTTGGATCGTCAACTTTGCGCTCAAACTCAATTATTATAGATATTTAAAACGTTTTATATGACTCAAATGAATCCTAAAACTTCTCTACAATTCTGAAATCTCAGTTCAACCACCGTACATTGCCGGTCACTCCCTCTAATAAACGTAAAAAACAGCTGAACTGACCGAGTCCAAATTTTGTGTGGAAACTCACATGACCCCAAAGCAAGATTATGCACGGTGAAAGTTCAAAAATGTGCCTGAAAAAAAATTCTTGAAAATGCGTCAATTTTACAGAAGAAAAAAATCCACGAAATAGAATTTACAAGTAAAAATGGGAGCTTAAAGAGTAACAATTAACAGCTAAAACGGGTGCTAGAAAATATCTTGTATCTAAAATATCAGTTAGCGTTTTCATTTGTGAATTATTGAATTTTTAGGGATTTTAAAGGTAATTTTAAGCGACCCTCCATGCAAAGATGGCAATGCCCGATTCAGAACGCGGTACCCTTGAAACTTTTCTCTGATCAATAAAATGGAAATGGTTCCGGGTTTTTTTTCCAAAAGTGTTTAAATCCGATAATCCCTAAATGGAAAATAATCATGTTTTCAAAAATATTAACATTGCATGATGTCTAATTTATATTAGATCAGGGTACCGTTGTGAATCGGGAATTGTCACCTTTGCATGGAGGGTTACTTGAAATTACGCTTACAGTCTTTTTGAAGAATAGTAAAATATGTATTTGCAGTAGAGTAAGTAAATTAAATGTAAAATTTTGTATTTCAGGCTACAGGGCTCCCCCAGATTCTCCAGGGAAAAATGCAGAATTTAATATTGAAATTTATTTTCCAGAATATAATCCAGGGACGAAATTATCATATTTTGAATCGGCGCAGCTTTTTTATCGGAGACCACTGTTATATTTCAAATCAGGCGTCTCCAATGAAAAACGGGAGAATGCGAAATATAAAAGGAGGGCTTTTGTAAAAAAAAAGAGGGGTCTCCAATAGTTTTCTGCTGTTGATTCTAATCCCAGCGTCCATAAAATATTCAAATTGAATTTAATAATCTATTCTTAAATACGTAATTTGAAGTGACCTTCTATTTATAACGTACCATTGATAATCAGACAAGGGTATACAAAATACCATTGATGATCACACAAGGGTATACAAAATACCATTGATGATCATACAAGGGTATACAAAATACCATTGATGATCAGGCAAGGGTATGCAAAATACTATTGATGATCAGACAAGGGTATACAAAATACCATTGATGATCAGACAAGGATATACAAAATACCATTGATGATCAGACAAGGGTATACAAAATACCATTAATTATCAGACAAGGGTATAAAAAATACCATTTATAATCAGACAAGGGTATACAAAATACCATTGATAATCAGACAAGGGACCGTTGATAATCAGACAAGGGTATACTAAATATCATTGATGATCAGACAAGGGTATACAAAATACCATTGATGATCAGACAAGGGTATAAAAAATACCATTGATGATGAGACAAGGGTATACAAAATACCATTGATGATCAGACAAGGGCATACAAAATAACATTGATGATTAGACAAGGGTATACTAAATACCATTGATGATCAGACAAGGGTATACAAAATACCATCGATGATCAGACAAGGGTATACAAAATACCATTGATGATCAGACAAGGGTATACAAAATACCATTGATGATCAGACAAGGGTAACCAAAAAAAACAGTTGTGAATCGGACAGGACGTTCAATTAATAGATGGTCATTTAAAATATCGTGTATAATCCCTTTAAGTATTCTGTATTTTGACTGAAAGGCAAGAGAACCAGAAGATTTATTATCCAGGAACATTTAAATATTATTAAAATAAATCAGTCAGGATTTCCAATGTTTGTTTTGAGAAAATGATCCTCACTTGAGAAAGATATGTTTTCTCTGAGAGCATTTTGGCATATTTTAGTTTGAACACATCACAATACATATACCTCTGTACTACAGTGATAACAAGAAAACTTTGGAATTGGAAGACGACTTTTAGACTAAATTTATGACTTTAAATAGTCCATTGATCATGAGATGCGTAGCACTTGTTTAATGTAAACAGACCCCATTAACTTAATAAGTGATTTAAGAAGTTACTATGTAACACTATTTGCTGTGTAACCTCATCAAATACAACAACTTATTGCTATAATGTCGTCTTTATATTCTGCAGTTTTCTGGTTATCACTGTGTCTAGGTGGAAAATTAAAGAATGATATAAATTTTGGAATATACAGTAGGATCCATAAAATTGTGGAATGGAAAATTTTGAGTATTTAATGTTGTTATAAAGCACATAGTTTTACCATTAGCTTGAAAATCAAATAAACAATTAAAAAAAGTTGATGTTTACAGCACAAAAATATGTTTAGCTCAGTTAATTAATTATCTTGCATTATTCATTTTTTTCAAAACCACGAAATCAACTGGATAAATAAAAATAATTTCTAGAGAGTGATAAATTTAGAAAATATTAATTATCTTTTGTCGTCAAATTAATTCCACAAAATAAATTCTTTTCAAAACTAGGAAAACCCAGCTTGATTATTAAAGTTAAGAAGAATTTCTTAAAATGGGATATCTTTTCATAATTACTTTGTCGGAAACTTTCCTGTAATTTTCCTTTTTCGGGCAAAGTTAAATACATTTAACGGACTGTTATTTTAATTAAATTCTTAAAATTACAAAATCAACTTTATTGTTCCAATTATCAAAAAATCTGTTGATGACCATTAATAATATTGTTATGTTTGCACTTGATGAACCATTTGCGCATTATTATTATCATGACCCTCCCTTTGCGAAAGACTTTCATAATATTCTCTTTCAAACACGTGTTTTTCTTTAGCTGGAAAACTTTCCACTTTTTAGTGACTACAGGCTTTTTGCAGCAGAAACAAGCATGGGAATAAATAAATTAATCTTTTTTAAAGATTGCACTGGAGTTTCACTTGAAATAATGACAACAGCTGTTATTAGAATATAGGAAAACGCGCAAATATTATGAAAAGGAATTGAGTCATTGCCACAAACGCTGATTTCTTAATCCCTTTATCTCTACAACCCAATGTCGTAGACCTTTGATATTTCAAACTATGAATTCTGATAGATCAAATAATCAAAGTTTGAAATATCAAAGGTTTACGCCATCTGGTTTTAGAGATAAAGGTATTGGAAAATTGGGATTTGTGGCAAAGACTCAATTCCTTTGGGGAAAACTAAATAAAGTTAGAGATAATTTTAAAACTTTTTAGAAAAGAAAGAATAATAGATAAACCGCAAGTTTTTAATCATTTTAGAAACACTTAACTCATCTTTCACAAAATTCACTAGAGTAATATTTATAAGTAATATTGTATGAATGTGAATTTGAATTTTTATGTTTTATCGGAATTCGATTTTGCTGATGACTGATATTTTTGAGAAGATTTAGTTAAACCTTCTGATTAAACAGATGAGGAAGATTTCTTCTCTTGGATAATTAAACTCATCCATTAAATTTTTAAAGTTGCAAAGAATCAAATGTTCGAATCCCTATATCTTTGGAATCAGGCGTATATGTCAAACTTAAACTATTTGATCTAACAGAATTTATCGTTTGAAATCAGATTAAAAAGCTGAATAAGAAAATTAGAATTTGAAGTGTTCATTTCCTTTGTATTTTCTATTTCTTTTAAGCTATATCCCCCTATCTTTTCTTTTGAATTTATTTTTAAATGTCGAAAGGAATGCAATTGACGCCTCAGCTTCAGAGTTGGAAATTGGTAAATATATTTCTTTATTACAGGAATTCTGAATATCAACAAAATTGAGTGTTTTTTTTTACAAATAAGTGAAACCCTGGTTAAATATGTTAAAGGGACTGTAAGCGTAATTTCAAATGAAACTTTATGCAAAAATGCCATTGCCTGATACAAAAATGTACCCTTGAAACCTTTATATGATTGATAATGCGTAAGATATTGTCATTTTTCTAGACCTTAAATTGTTTAATTTTGATAATTCCTACTTGGTTTCCTGCATTAGAAATACTGGAAAAATGCTTTTATTGTGGTTGAAAAATAGAACGTAGATGAATTACGACATAAAAGTCATCATTGTCTTCCACTGTTTTATGTGACACACTGTCCAGCCGGAGTATGTCGACGCACATGTCATCATAAGACAACCTGTACCTCCGGAGTATGTCGTAAATGTCATCATAAGACACCCTGTACAGCCGGAGTACGTCGTACATGTCATCATAAGACACCCTTTACAGCCGGAGTACGTCGAACATGTCATCACAAGACACCCTAAACAGCCGGAGTACGTCGAACATGTCATAAGACACCCTGTACAGCCGGAGTACGTCGTACATGTCATCATAAGACACCCTGTACAGCCGGAGTACGTCGTACATGTCATCATAAGACACCCTTTACAGCCGGTGTACGTCGAACATGTCATCATAAGACACCCTGTACAGCCGGAGTACGTCGAACATGTCATAAGACACCCTGTACAGCCGGTGTACGTCGAACATGTCATCATAAGATACCCTGTACAGCCGGAGTATGTCAAACATGTCATCATAAGACACCCTGCACAGTCTGTGAACGTCGAACATGTCATCATAAGACACCCTGTACAGCCGGAGTACGTCGTAAATGTCATCATAAGACACCCTGTACAGCCGGTGTACGTCGTACATGTCATCATAAGACAACCTGTACAGCCGGAGTACGTCGTACATGTCATCATAAGACACCCTGTACAGCCGGAGTATGTCGAACATGTCATCATAAAACACACTGTACAGCCGGAGTACGTCGAACATGTCATTATAAGACACCCCGTACAGCCGGAGTACATAGAACATGTCATCATACGACACCCTGTACAGCCGGAGTATGTCGTACATGTCATCATAAGACACCTTGTACAGCCGGAGTACGTCGCACATGTCATCATAAGACACCCTGTACAGCCGGTGTACGTCGAACATATCATCATAAGACACCCTGAACAGCCGTAGTATGTCGTACATGTCATCATAAGACACCCTGTAGAGCCGGAGTACGTCAAACATGTCATCATAAGACACCCTGTACAGCCGGGGTATGTCATGCATGTCAGCATGAATCACCCTGTACAGCCGGAGTACGTCGTGCATGTCATCACAAGACACCCTGTATAGCCGGAGTACGTCGTACATGTCATCATAAGACATAAATCCAAAATAATGTTAAAGGAACTGTAAATGAATACTATAAACTATTAGAAATATCCTAAGTTGATATAAATATTTAAGTTTTAAAACAATATATTATATTTAAATGTCCAAAAATAGTTTTGAAATATAAGATGAATAAATGCAAAACAAATATTCAGATGGCATGATATTAAAAAAGATTCCGTGGAATTGAATTGTACGTTTGTGTATTGTCGGAAATTCCATAAATAAATTAATGATGGTTACCGAGAGAAATCGCATTTTATCGCAAATATTTTTATTTTGGGGTAATTTTTAAATTTATTAATGTTGATGTTATTTAAAACTATCCAATACCTTGGTTTTACAGTATTTGTTATGCAAAGATGGCTTTGTCTGATCAAGCATTAATTGTTTCTATCAACTGTTTATTTTCATTTGCGGTTTCTCTGTGAAAGTGACTTGCGCATTTCTTCATTAGGAGAAATTCAAAGAAATAAACACTTTTCGATTTCCTCCACATTTTTGATCAGATTGATTAATCTTGAAATTACGCTTACTGTCCCTTTAAGTTTATCCAAAAATCTGTCTCAACACAGAATGTTGTTAGTATTCAATAGCTATATTGGTTTTGATGGGAATGTTAAAATATTTGGTTAAGAGGGAGGATTAAGTTTTTAATAATCAGATTCTAATAATATCTTTCTTTAGTTCACAGAAAAGAAATAAAGTAATATTGAAATTTTAAAAAATTTATTTTTATAAAAAAATTGAATGATAACTTTTGAATGTTTGAAAGAAAATATCCAATATGTTCAACACAATGCAATGTTTTTTCTGACATGTTTTTTCTTGAAAATGTATTTTTTACAACTAATGGATAATTGCCTGTTTTATAAGTTACACCTAGTTCACAACTCAAATATTTGTACAATCTCTTTAATATTTAAGGTGTTGGTTCCAGATGCTTCAATGATGTTAATAATCAGGAACATCTAGTTTTCAAATATTACATCTAAAAACAGATTTTATTTTAAATCAAGAAGAAATTAAGATCTTCCCTCTAACTCAAATTTTCTAATTCCAATATCTTTGCAACCTAATCGTGTAAACCTTTGATATTTAAAAGTTAGACTATTTAGTCTAACAGAATTTACAGTTTGCAATATCTAAGGTCTACGACATCGGGTTGAAAAGATATTAGGATTAGAAAATCGGAGTTTGTGGCAAAATCACAACTCCTTTCTCAAATATTTGTTTTATTTCATGATTTTTCGCCCCCCCTCTTTTTATATTAATGTTGCTTTTTGAAATTTCTACATTCTACATTTTTCTACATTACAAAAAAATAACATTTTTTGGAGATTTTCTTATTTTATTGGTAAATTAAAAAAAGGGCAAAAATAAACATATTTATAAAACATTTTTTAGCTATTATTACCTACATAATGTTTCTAACCTATCACAGAATAAAGAAATATAATGACAAACTCCCCTTTAGTACATAATCATAGTTTTAATACACTGTTAATACTGTTAATACATGCTATGGTCATATTCCTTATTTTGAAAAGTTGCATGTCTATAAATTAAAAAAATTTGTCGAATGGAATTGAATTTTTGCAAAAAAAAAGTTTTATCCTGCAAAATGCCTTGGGTCAAAATTTGGTGGAATGTAAGAAAAGCAAATGTTCTAAAATTGTTTATTTTGAATGTTTGTTTTCTTAAACCAGGAAGATTTTTTACTTTCAACGAAATTTACGCAAAAAACTAATTTGTTTAAATGGAGTGTTCGCGAAAAATGAAAGGGGGTATAGGCTAACGGCGAAACATAAGCGCTTTTGATCGCTACTAATCTTACTTCTATCTGTTGCGTCTATAAAAAATCTAGCGCCAGCAAAATATTATTTTTAAAGAAATCAAAATAATTATGAAATATTAACTATAAACGAATACATCGAAAAATAATCAATGACTATTGTTTGCAATCGGAATGATTTTTTGGCCTTAAATTTGTTATTTACGATCCGAGTTGAATGTTGCAACTTTCCGAATACAGTTTTGAAATGTTTGAAATTTTATTAAAAAGGAGTTGAGTTTTTGCCACAACCTCTGATTTAATTTCTAATCCGTATATCTTTGCAATTCAATATCGGAGACACCCTGCGTATTGGTAGGACTCCCTGAATTTGGTGGGACACCCTGTAATTGGTGGGACACCCTGCGTATTGGTGGGACACCTTGTATATTGTTGGGACACCCTGTATATTGGTGGGACACCCTGCGTATTGGTGGGACACCCTGTATATTGGCGGGACACCCTGTATATTAGTGGGACACTCTGTATATTGGTGGGACACCCTGTATATTGGTGGAACCCCCTTTATATTGGTGAGACACCCTGTGCATTGGTGGGACACCCTGTTTATTAGTGAGACCGCCTGTATATTGGTGGGACACCCTTGTATATTGGTGGGACACCTTGTATATTGGTGGGACACCCTGCATATTGGTGGGACACCCTGTATATTGGTGGATGAAAACTGGATGAAGATTATAGGACACCCTGTCTCATATAGAAAGCTACCTTGATGTGCAAAAAGATGAAGAGAAAAGGGTAATTTGCAAAAAAAAAGACACTTTATGTAAATACGACTGTACAAAAGTCTTTGCTGTCTTTGTTTCACATTTTTTTTAATTGCGATTGGACATACTTTTAAGTGTTTCGTTGATTTTTAAGAGTAAGGAAATAAACATCGTTTTTTTGTTAAATATCGAATTTGCGAAAACACTTCAAAATTACTAACTTGGAACAAAATGTTGGTCATGTCGAATGCTTTCGGATAGTTCAATATTTTGCACAAAATGATAAGGTTTTTTTTAAGCAGTTGTGCGTTTAAATGTGTTCAAATATTGCCTTTAACTGCCTGGAAAAAAAGAAAATTGATTTTGATTAGATATTTACTATAATGATTTTCTGATCTAAAATTAACTACGAAAATATTTATAAAGTTATTATTGAAATTTTGAAATAGTTGTAAATAAATCTTAAAAACGTATTTCAGGAGGTAGCTGATATTTTGAAGAAAATACAGCGGTAATATTTTAATAAAATTTAGAAAAATTAAATTAGATTTAGACAGATTTCTTGAAACAATACATTACTATATAGGACAATCTATATATATTTCAGTTTTTAACATTTTATTTCTTTTAGTTATACTAAAACTTGGAATAAATGTTAATATGTAATTATAAATATACTCTTTTATAAAGAAATATTTCCATTTAAGCTTTTTTTTCGAACAATGGTTTTTAAAAGATGTAAAATGTCTACACAATCGTTTTTGTCACTAAAATCAAGGGAAAGGCGAATTTCATAGTAAATTACTTCTTCAAAACAATAGCTAAAAATAAGTGCTTTATATTTCTAAACATCAAAAAAGCCCAATAGCCCTCGTCAAAAAAGGATAACAGTAGAAAATTGTTTTTGGGGAGAATTGGTTAGTTAAATATTCTTTCTGATATTTAAAATACTAGACTATCAGGGCGCTTCGCTCCCATCTTCTAGTTCAACTTTTAATTGTTACTCAATCTTTCAACCATTTCTTTTCGATAAAGCACAAATAAAATTTTGTTTTTCAAATTTTTTTGTGCGTTTTCATAAATTTGCGAAAATCACAAATTTTTGGAGAAAACAAACTTTGGACCCGATCGGTTCAGCCGTTCTAACGTTTATTGGATACAAACAAACAGACAGATAGACAAGCAAAGTATATATTATGTATATATCTCATATTGTAAAAATAAATTCAAAATTAATAAATGTTTTAGAAGTGTGATGAAAAATGAAGATTCAATCAACCTGATATTAAATAATTTGGCGGCTTTGGCAAAGTAAGGTTCAACATTGCTTGTCATCTTTCAATTTTTTTAAAACTTTGAAACAGATCTAAAAGCAGTCATTGAAAAGAAAACTGTTTTTAAGTTTACTTTTTCTATTTTCATAACTTTCCTGCATTTGTTTTGTTATTTTAATAAAGTTTTTAAAGTTCTTATAGGTTTGTACATAGAGTAATAAAACGAAGAGGTAAAGCTAACCTCAGATGTACACAACCGACCTCCCTATGGTTTAATTAATAGAGTGGTCGGTTGTGTACATTACGATAAGTTTAAGTATCTAATACTCTATGGGTTTGTATTATGATACCTGAGTAAAATATTAGGTTAGTATTGTGATACCTAGGTAAAATATTAGGTTAGTATTGTGATACCTAAGTAAAATAGGTTTATATTGCAACACCTGAGTAAAATATTAGGTTTGTATTGTTATACCTGAAACTTTAATACAAAAAAATTCAAATTGTACAAACCAAATTTAAAATTCAAGAAAAGTGCATTTTCCAAATGATTTTCTGAATCCTTACAATTTAGTATTTGTTTTGATTATATGGAATAGTTATTAAAATACATATTTTAATAATTAAACCGCCTTTAAGTAGGGTTTCCATTCGGAATTCCGTTGCGCGGAATTCCGCGTAATCGCGCGGAAATTGCAGGGCCCGCTATTGCGCACAAGAAAAATTCACTTGCGTTAGAAAGCCTAATTTGAAGCAAGAATATTTGTAGTGAATCTATTTATTTCCTTGTACAAGTGCAATTCCTTAGATAACTGACGTTAGATTTGTAAAAATTTAATTTCTTTTTTTAGGCCTAACTCTGATCGGGAACTGTGCGAAATCAACCTGTGCAAAGGAAACAGAATTTTTTCGAAACAATTTTAGAAAACACTTATTTTTCCTTAATTCTTTCGTTTTACCAAAAGTACTGAAAACTTTATTAATGATTTGATATGTTTATTCCTTTTTCTTGGCACGGTGGTGTAAACCTTTAAAATTTCAAACTTTGACAGATATTGATACTTATTATTTGAAATATCATATCAGGTTACACAGATATAAGAATAAATAAGCAACAAATTTCCTTGGTTTTTAGAAGAATAATATGTAGAACATTCGAGAATTGCATTTAGTTAAAGCTTGCAAAGGAAGTGTGTCTTTGCCACAAACTCTCCTTTCTTATCCCTATATCTTTGCAACCCGATGTCATAGATCTTAGATATTTCAAATTATGGATTCTGTAAGATCATATCGTCTGAATTTAAAATATATAATGTTTTGACGTTCAGGTTGCAAAGATATAGGGGTTAGAAAATTCGAGTTCGTGGCAATAAGACTAAATTTTTTAATTCTTCTATGTAGAGCTATCTACCTTATTTTATATACGAATTGTGTTCAATAAATTAAGCTAAATTTTTTAGAGGTACTTCTAGATGGTTAGCCCTGTATATAAAACAAAGTTCACTATATCTATACCGGAGACATTTTTCAGATCAGTTGATTTCAATCATATCGTTGTTGTAATGTAATGAGCGTTCTCCCGAAAGAATATCATTGCGCTCGTCACAGAAAGAAAAATTTCAGAATGTCTCAATCTTGATCCATTAGAGTCTGTTTTTATAGACCCTTTAAAGGGACTGTAAAGGAAAAATAAAAGAGTGTATTGGCTGAAAGCTAATCACTTTAGCTCTTGATCGCGACCCATGAAAGTAATATCTGATGTTCCTGTCACGAGAAATTAATAAAAACTGTGTCAAATTTATATGAAAATCCATATGTATACAATTTTGTTCTAGAAATAGTAGTCCCTTTAAGAACGATCTAAAGAAATGAGAGATTAAGTATTTAATGTATGTATGACTGGATTTTTCTGGTTTTGATTTACGTTTGAGATCCATAATCAAAGTAATTCTTTTGGTTCTATGTCAGAGACTTTGGTACAAATTTTACCCACATCATGTCACAAATCTAATAAATTCTACTATGTAAATTATTTATGTCACACTTTGCATCATCATTAGTACGTTCACAATGCGAGATGCAATTGTTTACAATGTAAAAGCATACATCAAGCTGTCTGGCAACATACTTTTTGAACCCTTGCTAATATAGTTTAAAATTGTTCGACCATTTTTGGGGTTTTGATGGTCTTTTGCCGCCCGGACATGTCATGAATTAAATGGGGATAGAACCGTTTATGACTAAGAACACAAAGAAAGGAACGAAACAGGATGGAACGATTGGAAAAAGCACGAACAAGAACGATGCGATTTCAAAAAATTTGGAACATGTCCAGCCCTAGCAGACAGGTAACGGAACAACTGGTGGAATGGGGCCACCCTTGAAAAAAGAGGTATTATGTGGAACGGATGTAGGGTGAGTTTAAAGGGATTTGGACTGGGAGGTGGAGTGAGTCTCAGTGATGGTGTTGCTACAAGGAGAAAATAGATGCTGAGGCCAATATTTAGAACTGCTTAGTGGAGATTGAGACACTGCAGGACAAAAAGTAGCCAGATGTTGAGAGTAGACGCATGATAAGGGGGCTCGGAGGCCCTGGAAGTACTACTATGCATATACCTGCTAGCATTGAATCTAGGCCTATTATTTTCAGCAATTCTCTGTTTCTTATTTAAGAGAATTGGGACCCAGGTTTATCTCCAGGTATTGCAACTCTGTGAATTTAAATATACGTACTACACTTTTGGGTATAAGACATTTTTTAACCGTTTTCTCCTTATATATGAGCAACAGATAAAAGTAAAATTAGCAGCGATCAGTATCAAATTCCATTATATATCAGCCTATACCCCCTTTCATTTTTCTGCTAACAATTCCTTTAAAAAAAACTTTCATTCTCTTCAAAATGTTTGTTTGATATTTAATTCTTGTTGGTCAGAGGGTAAAGAAAAGACAAAAGAAGGCTTGAAGGAATTCAATTTAAATATTACGGTTAAATTCCATACTTACGTATGATATTAGACACAATTTTATTGTAATCGAGATGTACTGTGAGACCCATTAAAACCGTGAAAAAGTAAGACGACATTAACCCAATATAATGTTTATTTGTTGTTGTTTTACACTGTGCTTTACTCATGAAGTAAAATGGGACTGTGTGTTTCATGTTCATTGGACAATTTAAAATTGTCTAACAGTCGTCTTCCTAATCCATTGTTTACTGGGTCCCATAGTATGATAGAACAATACTTAATAAATGAATATAGATATTTAAATTGTGGAAAGGGCCAAGGATTGACTGATGGCGAAGAACCGCTAAGGTAAAATAAAATAAATAATTCTGTTTACAGAACCAAAATTAGATAAATTTTACAGATTTCGAAGCGATAACGTTTCAAGCAATGACTCTGGAAACTATGATCCTGTAGATTCTGTTTATTATGAAGTAAAAGAAAAAGACAAAAAGAAGAAAGAGGAAGTAGAGGATGTAGAGGAAGTAGAGGAAATAGAATATGAAGAACGACAGTTTATTCTTGAAACAAAGGATGACATGGCTGTTTATGAGGAAAAAGAAGAAGCGTTTGAAGGAGAATCAGATGCTGGAGGAGAAGCTGCTTCTGAATTTGAAGAAAGACAATTTATTCTTGAAACAAAGGATGACATGGCTCTTTATAAGGAAAAAGAAGAAGCCTTTGAAGGAGAAACCATGGAGAACTATGTTAAAGAGAAAGAATCAGAAGCACTATCTGAATATGAAGAAAGACAATTTATTTTGGAGACACGTGACGGCATTAAAGAAGAATCAGCTGTTATAAAGAAATCCGCGAATTTTCTAGAATCAGCTGATTCCCAGGAATCCGGGAACATAAATGTTGACTCTGCAAGCTATAATATTATGGAGAAAGAAAAAGGAAATGAGAAAGAACAGAAAGAATCTGGAAGAAATGAAACAAGTGAAGTTGTTTATGATTACGAAGAGAGAAAGTTCATTCTTGAGACACGTGACAGTGCAGCAACTAATTCGTTTAGATCAGATGAATCATCGTCCAATAATAATTCAGAGGGTAAAAAAGAAATGAAATTTATTCTTGAAACTCGAGATCACAGGAATAATTCCGGCAATTCTAACAAAGCAGGAAATTTTACGAGAAATATCACTAGGTCATCCTCACGAGGCGTGAAAACAAATGCAGAAGGGATGGATCAATACGAGCAAAGACAGTTTATTCTTGAAACTAAGAATAAAGAAGGTGGACCTATTGCAATCAATGTTTTAAAAAAGCCTACACTAAAAGCCAATTTGAAAACTGTATCAGGAGAAACATATCAAATTTCAGAACACGCTGAAAATATGGCTGCAGGTAATCTGTCCTGGAGATCGGATGAACTAGAGGAAAACAGTGAAAGTGAAACAATTTTAGGATATTTTAATGATAAACATATATTTGAGGTGGAAGGTGGTTCAAATACTGATAACACTAACTCCTTTTCAAGTAAAGCATTTACTAGCTACAAATCAGACGATTCAGATCAGGAAACACGAGAAGAAATTGTACATTTATTACTTGATGCAGACAGTGTTGCCAGTTTATCAGAAGAAGATAAGATTAGGCTCAAGAGATCTACACTTGAGGATATTTATCCAGGAAAAAATCAACAAATCATTTCGACGAATAAGAAAGAAAATGTTGAAAAAAATAAGATAAAACTGTTTAATGAATATAAAGCTGTGCCTGTTAGGTTTATAAATAAAATGATACCAACCTATGCTGGGTCTAAAAGATTAATGGATTCAACTCCTGAAAACTTAGATGCCAAAACAGGATTGTTCGATGATGACGCAAATTCAGAGGAAAATCAAAATTACCAGACGTCTATCGACACAGAATTAAGAGAGAAAAATGTTCTTGAGGGCTATGCAAGCTATGTATTTGAAGGAGATATAGAGGTAGAATCTGGTTCAAAAAAATGAAAAAAAATGTTGGCGCTTAAAATGATACAGTTTATGGTGCAAACTCTAAATATCTTGTCGAAAAATATAAAATTTCAGATTTAAATAAAGAATATATCTAGCAAATGTTTTATAATGAACTGCAGGTTGGTAATATATGACATAAATGTTCAAAAACTTTGATGTGTATATTTCTAATTTCAGTTAAAGAATTATGTGTCTCCATGTTGCCATGACTCGATTAAAATATAGTCTTCAGTTCCTTTAAATGAAGAGTTACTTGAAATATGCTTACAAACCCTTTAATGAAGAGTTACTTGAAATATGCTTAAAACCCTTTGATGAAGAGTTACTTGAAATATGCTTACAGACCCTTTAATGAAGAGTCGCTTTCATGAAGAGTTTTTTGAAATCTAAGAGTCACTTTAATTAAGAGTTACTTGAAATATGCTAAGAGTAACAATAATGAAGAGTTACTTGAAATATGCTTACAGTCCCTTTAAATGAAGAGATACTCAAAATATGCTTAAAGTCACTTTTAAGAGTTACTTGAATTATGCTTAAAGTCACTTTAATAAAGAGATACTTGAAATATGCTTACAGTCTCTTTGATGAAGAGTTACTTAACATATGTTAAGAGTACCTTTGATGAAGAGTTACTTGAATTATGCTTAAAGTCACTTAAATAAAGAGATACGTGAAATATGCTAACAGTCCCTTTAAATGAAGAGTTACTTAAAATATGCTTAAAGTCACTTTTAAGAGTTACTTGAATTATGCTTAAAGTCACTTTAATAAAGAGATACTTGAAATATGCTTACAGTCCCTTTAAATGAAGAGATACTCAAAATATGCTTAAAGTCACTTTAATGAAGAGTTACTTGAATTATGCTTAAAGTCACTTTAATAAAGAGATACTTGAAATATGCTTACAGTCTCTTTAAATGAAGAGCTACATAAAATATGCTATACCTTAAATGAAGAGTTACTTAACATATGTTAAGAGTACCTTTGATGAAGAGTTACTTAAAATGTGCTTAAAGTCCCTAAAAATAAAATGTGCTTACAGTCCCTTTAAATGAAGAGTTACTCGAAATATTCTTACAGTCCCCTCAAATGAAGAGTTACTAAAAATATGCTTACAGTCCCTTTAAATTCAAATAAATAAAATTTTGAAGTAAACAAAACTTAAAAGTTATAAATTTGACAAAATGCAGAAAAGTTTTTATAAAATTTGAAAATTCTATTCAAAACAACTGCAAAAGAACTTCTAATAAAACTGTCATATATAATTTTTCATGTAACGCTGCAAATGAATTTTTTAAAGTTTGTATTTGAATCAAATTAGAATTATAAATTCTTTTGGAGTCACGGAAGTTCGTAATAAGATTTTGACTCCACTGGAGACCATCGTAGGGAATTTATTTTTACTGGAGGGGTTTGAATTGAAAAAAGCTTTTAGCAATTTAAAACATTACGCAGGGTGAATTACATTCCACTGGAGGGATTCAGATATCTTTCCAGGGGGGTTAAAATTCCACTGGAGGGATTCGGATATCTTTCCAGGGGGGTTATAATTCCACTGGAGGGATTCAGATATCTTTACAGGGGGGTTATAATTCCACTGGAGGGATTCGGATATCTTTCCAGGGGGGTTATAATTCCACTGGAGGGATTCAGATATCTTTCCAGGGAGGTTATAATTCCACTGGAGGGATTCAGATATCTTTCCAGGGGGGTTATAATTCCACTGGAGGGATTCAGATATCTTTCCAGGGGGTTTTTAATTCCACTGGAGGGATTCAGTTATCTTTTCAGGGGGTTTATAATTCCACTGGAGGGATTCAGATATCT